CTTGGATGCTGTTGGCTATGTTGGTGATGGTCATGGAAATGTTATAGGATATATTTTGAGCGTTGTGCTTGCTGTAGTCGACCCTCTGGATCCAGGGATTGTAAACTCGTCCAAGTAAGTGCATTATTTGAAGCTGATACAATGACTATGTTATTTTCACTGTATTTGCGAAAATTGTCAGTTTTCTAGTGTGTCAAAAAACAAAATTAATTCAGCTTATATACTCAGTATATCTTCCCGCCCAACTTCAAAAACTCTTCGCATTTTTCTCGCCACCATAACTTTTTTTCAATATAAAATATAGTCAGTATATAATAAAAATATCTTAGATTTAATTTCTGTTGTTATTTTATCTTTGTTTTAGGGATAAATTGACATATTTTTGCCTTTTTCAGATTATTTGCATGTGTAGACCTCAATATTGTATATAACTTTATATATATATATATATATAAAGCTCACTGGGCTAAGGTAGGCAACTTCTATATACAGAGTGTATAAAAAAAATTCGAATTGAAATTTTGCGTGTAATAATGCAAAATATATATGACAAATTTGGTTGATTTTTACACCATTGTTAAGTTAATTTATTTCTCTTTCAAATGACACATTGTACGTGTAATTTAGTTGAAAAATGAAAAAAGTACTGGTGCGACAAAAAAAGTTCATAAAAATCACAATTTTCTGCCGATGGGAACTGGACCTTTGTTTTATTGAAAATTAGTCCCAAATGGCTTTAAAATCTAATCATTACTGAAAACTAAAATGCAAATTTATTGCAAGAATTCTGCTTATTCAATGTTCAAGATTGAAGTTTGAAGAACACAATGCCTTCATTAATTAGATTTGCATTTTCTTTTGTCTGGGGGTCTCATTTCAAATTCCCATCAGCGGAAAAATTTGATTTCAAACAACAATTTTTAAAAGACGATAACTCGGCCAGTTTTGATCGTGTCGATATAAGAACGGTATAATCGTAAACTAAATAAACTAATCTTTGTTGCCACATAAAAATTATATCGTTTACTTTAGTATTTTATACACAGCAGCTTGTCAAAGTTGGATTCAAATTTTTTTTATAGAAACCGTATATATATATATAGAGCTTGCTGCCTTAGCCTAGGATATATTATACTACAGTATATAATACCTACATTGTCTTAAAATATGGTACAACCTCTATTAAGTGGCCCTCCATTAAGCGGCCACCCTCTATGAAATGGCCACATATCGAAGTCCCGATATTTACTTTATTTGTAATATAATGCCTAAAACTTGTTATAACACATGCCACTTTACACCTCAAAAGCATTGTCAGTAGAAAAGTGTCAGTGTAAAGAGCATAGAAATGCGAAATATTATTTCCTGCTTTTATTTTGCGTCAAATCCTTCCTTTTTGAGTTTTTCCCTTAGCCAACTGATCGAAAATTCTACCTGTAAAATGAAATTTGCATGGAAATTCCAACCCATAACCTCCATCTCTATTTACTCGCTTGCCTCTGATCACTGCTTCATCAGAGTTTGTTGCTCGTTTAAGAAACTCTGTCTGCCAGATTGCCATTAATTTTGGAACATGTCCAATGACTTCAATATCATCCCTCATCTCATTTGGGTGCGAGCATCGTTTTTCATTAGTCAACTCACGATGTTGCATTTCATGTTGACCAGAGCCAAGTCTATTTTCTCCACTTTTGTGCAAGCTTTTGCGTACAACTGCACAATAGACATTTGTCTATGCCCGATCCCTGTGTAACCAAACTGAAAGATAGATAAATTATATGGAATCATTTCCAATGCCAAGGGGGTTGAATCATTTTGGGTATGCTTCATAAAAATTTCTGAAAATTTTTTAATTTTATTTTTTTCATTAGTCTGCTATTTTCAATTGATGTAAAACAGCTTTTTTACTCTTTTTTAGCCAAATTTATCCATCAAATCGCGAATTGGGGAATCATTCTGAAATAATCAACTCTCTTACAAAATTTCCAGCGTTGTGGATAGCACAATCAAAAGAAACCTTCTTGCCCCAATATATTTATAATCGACCAAGACTATGTACAATAAAAGTGGATTAATAAAATTCTGCAATACATCATTAAAATACATTATATATAAAGGATAAAAGCTATGGTGTAATAATGTATAATGTACAACATAGGACTAATTAAAATAATTTAGATTTAATAGAATCCGACTGTCCATTTAAGCTGGGCTTTAGTTTTTAATGAAAAGCATTTCGAAAACCAGACAGTCAAACTTGTTTCTGCATTTTCGAAGAACCGAGAACCTCCCAAGCAAGTCATCCAAAATCTGTCCATGCGCTTCCTTGGCATGCCTTCCAACAATTGTGGTTTTATGCTCATCAACATGTTGATATAAGTGTCGGCACCTGTATCTGACATAACCAGCATTGCACTGGTCACACTTAAAACGATACACAACACATTGTTGAGACAATATCACCCTCTACTTCAAAGAGAAAAAATTGATGCATCTACAATTAAGAAGATCCTACCCAAGGGAGTTGCCGACAACCTGTCCCCTCATGGTTCAAGACTTGCACATCTTTATGGCCTGCCAAAGACACATAAAGTAACTTTGGAAATGCGTCCGCAACTAATACCTATGACTACAAGCTTGCCAAATGGCTAGACAAGAAACTGAAGCTGTTGACAAGAAGCAAATATGTCATCGACGACATTTTTCAGTTTGCTGATCGGATTAATCAAAAGCAAGTATATGCTTACGATGTCATAGTATTGTACGATGTAACAGCCTTGTTTACCAACGTACCAGTTGATGAAACCATTGAATACATTGTCGAAGAGGCATTTAAAGGCAACTGGTTTAATGAAACATACAATCTTAACTTGACTAAGAAAAAGTTAACCGAATTGCTTGAAATTGCAACCAAAGACCAGCTCTTCCAGTTCGATGGTCAATTATATCAGCAGGTGGATGGTGTGCCTATGGGCTCACCCTTGGGTCCATTTATGGCCAATGCTATAATGTGTAAAATCGAAGGTAAATTGGAGAGAGATGGGAAAATGCCAGAAGATTATAGTCGCTACATTGAGGACACTTTCAACCTTTCTACTGACATTGGTACAGCAAATTTATTCCATCAAACGCTGAATGACGCTCGCCCGTCACTCGCATTTCAGGTTCAGAAGGATGGTCAACTCCCATTCCTTGGTATGCTTATGACAAAGAAAGATACCTCCATTTCCACCAGCAACTATCGAAAGCCTACAGATACGGGGCTGTTGCTACACTACTAGAGTCATGTTGACAAGCGATACAAGATCGGACTGATCAAAACCATGCTATATCGTGCCAAGAGATTGTCATCATCATTTGAATTCTTTCAAGAGAAATGTGGCAGAATTTTTTCAAGGTTTGTACAGCTGAAATACCCCGAGGCGTTGGTTAAATCCGTGATTTTGGAATTTATGACAGCAGATGCTGTAGACAATACTCCTGGTTTACAAGATAGCGTCCATTCTGGTAAGTTTGACAGATGCGACAGTATAAACATCAGCCTACCCTTAAAAGATCAGAAATCAGCAACAGTTGTCAAGCAGCAGCTGTCTGATCTGTCTAACGAAGTAGGAAAGCTCCTGAGACCTGTCTTGGTCAGTAAGAAAGTTGGTGAGCAGCTCAGGTTATGTGAAAGAAAACCGGTGTTATTGTCTCAACAATGCGTTGCGTATCGTGTGTGACCAGTGCGATGCTGGTTATGTCAGATACATGTGCCAACACTTATATCAACGCGTTGATGAGCATAAAACCACAATTGTTGGAAGGCATGCCAAGGAAGCGCATGGACAGATTTTGGATGACTTGCTTGGGAGGTTCTCGGTTCTTTGAAAATGCAGAAATTAATTTCATTAAAGAACTAAAGCCCAGCTTAAATAGACAGTCGGATTCTATTAAATCTAAATTATTTTAATTAGTCCTATGTTGTACATTATACATTATTACACCATAGCTTTTATCCTTTATATATAACGTATTTTAATGATGTATTGCAGAATTTCATTAATCCACTTTTATTGTACATAGTCATCGTCGATCAGCCCTTGCTCAGGACAAATGCAAATTTTTAGCTTATAATATATTTCTAACCTGTGTAAAGATTATATCAATTCTGAAGGCGATAAAAAACGCTTCCAGCCTGTGAAGGTAATCGTGAAAATATTCGTAAAAACATTTTACTGAATCCAAATTGTATACATAAATAACATAATTCAGCAATGAATTTTGATCACTTCCGCATGATGTCACACATGACAAGTTTCACTAGCCGCCTTCTTGGGGGGCAAAATGCGGTAAATTAACTGGTATTTTGACTCTTTGAAAGCACTTTTGCCCCTCGAAATGGTGCATGCCTCCAAGTGGTCTATACTAGAAATTTGCAGCTTTCCTGGTGTTAGAAATTGTCTATGCTTATTGTTTTTCGTATGAAATAAAAAACAATTAAAAAACCAGTACAGAGGCCTCATTTTTTGCACAAATCACGCTTGTTCATGATTTATATCTGCCATTTTATGTAGATTATTGGAAAGCAGCAGGATAAAAAAGTTTGGGTATTCAATAAAGACGTCCAGATGGATGAAAATGGATTATTGATTCCGCTCGAAAATAAGACATTCCTAATGAGCAAAGACACCGCCCTCACACAGATAACTGACGTAGTAGGAGGAACTTTCTATTTGCTTATACATACATTTGTACTTTACTCATGCATGGTCCTGGTTGGTTTGATTGGTTTTCGAACCCAAACGTAAAGAAATTCGCTTCTTTTAACTTTAAAATGTAACTTTACTCTAACATCAATTTCGTTCTTGAAATGTGTACCATGCACACGCATAAATGTATGCATTTTTCATCCCATAGCTATTTAAAATGGAATAAGTGCATGTTCCGCCTGCCCTCTCGCCTCCAGCCATATTCCAACCTCATAGCCATGCAATTCATGCAAACGCCATGCATGAACGGTGTTACGTTAGCCCGTTTTTTACACTGCGTGAATAACATTTATCGCTTTTTCTAGACTTTAAAGATGGTGAAGCTTTAAGACAACTGATTCTTGCCAAAAAAGACTTATTTCAAAACAATTTTCCACAAGTTGTAATGGGGCATGCTGCAAGTGAAATGGCGGCAAAGTACCATTTACTCATTCAAGAATTTGGTGGGTGCCCTACACCAGTTTTTATGGGCGAACCCCTATCTGGGAAAACGACTGCTCTCGCAGCCGCTTTCAGTGTATTTGGTATCCACAAGTTCAGCAGCGGTATGTCTGGTTAAATGGATGATAGTACTTCCAGTCTTCCAGTTCCAGGCTCTCAAATGTATATGCCTATATAACAAATAACGCATTGTATACGTTTAGAATGCTCAAGTAAATTCATTGAGAAACGACAGTCTATGACCACGATTCCTTTCGGATGGGACGATTTGTTGAATGTCAAAGTTATGAAGAACGTGACAGTAAATTTATACAATGTTGTGAGTACTCAGAAACAAGTTATGGCAATATCTGTATACGCGCAAGATGTATTAATTTCTTATATATAATATTATTAATTGAGTTATGTGTAAGCGATTTATTTTTCAATTACCGTCCTTTTTAGGCTGGAAGTGCGACTTTATTATCATCCCTAAAACTTCACACGGTCCCGCTCATTACTAAAAACGAAAAGTGTTAGGAGTTGAAGTGAGTTTATGGGAAATGCATACACATATCTAGTATATCTTAAACTTTTATTAACAAAGTGTATCTACATTCGTTTGCTAGAATCAAGTCTCGATGGTTACCATTATATTTCAAGGAGCTATCTCCGTGACTTGAGGGAATGGCGTTGATAAAGGCCCAACATCTGCACCAAAAGATTGTAGATGCGCGAAAAAGCATTACCATGGTGACATCCCACCTATTTTGCGAGTTGTGCAAGTGCGAAGAAGACAATGATTATCAGAAGCCCAAGAAATTATTCAGAACAAAATTTTGCAGAGGCAAATTAGACATTGTTGTTTTGTTCAATGAAGGTATACCAATTACAGCCCATTGTGTTGCTTAAACACCCATTGTGTTGCTTAAAATCCAAAGATTTCATGCATAGCCTTCTTTTTTAAAACAGAGTGGAGTGATTAACTTTAGTGCTATATTTTTCTTTTAGATTCTGGAAAAAGTGAACCTGTTGCACTTGTATGAATTAGTGGTAAAAAAATTGTCTGCAGTTATTTTACCATTATAATGTGACATCGTAAAAAAAGACTGTGGGCCGTCAAAAAACAATACTCTAACGGATACTCTAACCTTTGGCAGTATTGAGGATGGACAATCAAAATCGAATCGCTGATTTTGTGAAGGATACTCTAACCTTTGGCAGTATTGAGGATGGATCCAAAAGACGTAAGCTAATAGGGGCCTGTAGCAAGTTCCCTGCTAAAAGGTTTATTTTCCAGTGCACATTGTTAAAGTTTAAATTTATCTGTCACGACAATGAACATTTTACAAGGGAACCAATAAATTTTAGTTTAGTATAATTCTGTTTATGAAAGTAAAAGCATAGATGTACGAGGCGAGGCCAGGCGCAAGGGTGCAGTTGCCTTCCAGAAACATTGGAATCTAAAAAAGCTAGCATTAATCTAAAAATTTAATGTGGAGATGATGTTGCATTGGGTGAAAGAGGTTGTAGGAGGTAACATGGTCCAAGGCCTAACAGAAGAGTCAATTAAGGTCTTTATTAAATCCAGTGGCATTGGCTGTGTTGATTGACTGGTTAAATTTTGCTCTGCAGGGCATGCTGGGCAGCAACTGTGTGCTGTTAACATACAAAGGGAATGGTTTGCTGAAGAGACTCTCGCTAAACTGGACACTCGTAAGTTTCACAATGAAGATTAACGAATTTAAAGAATTAAATAAAATCTATATTACAAAAGAATGAAATAAAACATACAATTTTTGTTTAAATATAACCTTCTATGTATGGATTATACGGTTTTATTAATGTAATCTACAAATCCAGACCGCTTTTATTCATCCTGGTTTGACTTATAACCTTTTCATGCCAATACAGATCTTGGAGAGAGGAGCAACGAAGGGACGTGACAAAAGGAAAAAGGTCAGCAACTCTTTACGAATAATTGGTATCGTATACAATCTTAGCAGCTGTTTATTTGATATAGTCTGACTATATGTACATGCATGTCAGTAGCTAATTTTGTGTCCATGCAGCATCACATAATTTATTTAATTTTCTAGTTTATATCTGATATATATATATCTGATATATAGTATATATATATACATTATATAAAACATTATATAAACATATATATATATATAATATATATATATATATATATATATATATATATATATAATATATATATATATATATATATATATATATATATATATATATATTGTTATAAACTCAGAACACAACTCAGGTGTGTGTGGATACATATATTAAAGAAGATTCCGTCGACTACATACAGCAGAATATTTACACGAGTTTATATAGCAAATCTTTTTGGGTTTTTTACTTGATTAACATAACAATACTTAATTGTTTAATTCGCATAATGAGTTTATATTAGTTTCGCCTATAACTACAATATATGTCAATAATGATCTCACAACATCCCTTTCTTCCTCAACTTTGGAATCGATCCGGCAGATAAACTTCACGTCCTCGGCGCGTCACATAAACAGGTTGTCTGCCACATTGTGGATTGATTGACTGATCTACTACTTTGTCACAATCGTCTCTTGTCTCTGCTAGTTCTCCTTTCTCAAACTGCGATGTCTCGCGTACGATCTTGAAATGTGACTTGTCTCGCACGAACACTTTCCATCATCAAATCGAGCTGTTACACCGTGTCCATGTATCTGGGTTACTCTACCCGGAATAATACTTAGTGGATCTGTTCGCCTGTTCTTCATGAGAACCCTGTCTCCAACAGCAATTCTGGACTTTTTCACATTTCTACGCTTATCATGATATCTCTTGGACTTGAGTTTATACGAAGCATCATTCTTTCTGACTTCACAATCATATTCGTGCTTGAATGCATCTGATATCTCCGGCAATACACCAAGTCTCATTTTTCTTCCAAACATGAGCTCGAATGGACTTCTCCCTGTAGCAGGATGCGGTGTGGCACGGTATGCATTTAACATTCCTTCAATCAGATTGCGGTATTTCTTCTTCTCTACTTTTGCAATCCGCTCCATCTTCTTCAGGTTCTGCATAAATTTCTCTGCTTCACCATTTCCTCTCGGATGTCTAGGTTTCACAGGTTTATGTATGAATCCCTTCTCACGAGCATATTCACTGAATTCATGTCCATTGAACGGAGGTCCTCGATCTGACTTCAATTCTTTCACTGTTCCAAACGTTGAAAACCACAAATCCAGGATTGGTTTCACACATGAAAACGATGTGGATCTGCAGTAACTTACAACAGGATAACGGCTGTAGAGATCATACCCGACCAGGGCATAAGTTCCATCCTTAAACGGTCCCTTGAAATCCACAGAAATCGTATGCCAAGGACCTGGCGGCAATGGTGTTGATTGGAGCGGTTCGTCGTAGGTGCGATGATGGGTGAATTGACAGCTTTGACAATTTCGTACAATCTCTTTACATAGTTTGGCAATTCCAGGAAACCAGATCTTCTCCTGAAGAAGCTTCAGTGTGCGGGTTTCTCCTGAGTGCCCAATCTTATGCGCTTTCTGGACAAATTCTCTTTGACAACTGAGAGGGGGAATAACTTTATCTTTATACAGGATGATTTCTTCAACAACAGATAGGTCGGACGCTACTCCGAGAAATCTTGCAATTCTTCCATCATTTCATGTCTTTTCCAAAGGTTATTCTGAATCACTTCTTTCAGGAACTGGTAGTCGCTATCATTTTTCGCGATTTTCGAAAGGTACACGTTTTCTTCAGAGACTACTGCTCGTAATCCTTCCTCCATCTCGTTCACTGATTTCACCGTGGGAACATCGTTATGATTTTTCGTCAGGTGTCTTGATCCATAATCAGCGATGTTTTCAGCTCCCTTTTGGTACTTGACCACATAATCTAGACCTTGTATGGCAAGAATCTGTCGCTCGATTCGTAACGGTGCTTTCGACGCTGGGTTATTAAAGAGATGCACAAGTGGTTTACAATCCGTGATAATCTCGAACTTTGGCGCACCAACCAAATACTTATAGAAGGCATCAGCACACGCAAATTTGATCGCAGCAGCTTCTAATTCGGTTTGTCCGTATCTTGTTTCAACATCAGTTAAAGCACGGTTGGCCACATGACACATTTTCCATTGTCCCTCGTCGTCTTGTTGGCATAGAATGGCACATAGTCCCCCTGGAACGTTGCTAGATTTTTCTGTCTTCTTTCCAGCATCGACGTAGATCCTCATTGGTCTATCAGGAACAAAATAGGCAAGGGTTGTTTGCTCCGTCAAACTGTTCTTTAGACTTTCGAAAGCTTCCTGTTCTTTAGGTCCCCAGGAAAAAGTTGATGTTGATTTCGTTAACTGTCGCAACGGTGCAGCAATCTGGGCGAAGTTAAAGAAAACGAGACATATATCCCACCATTTGCAGAAAACTTCTTACTCCTTCTTTTGAGTTGGGTTCTCCACATTCTTGTAATGCTCTCACTTTTTTCTCTGATGGTTTGATTCCTTCTGCCGTAAATCTGACACCATAAAACTCGACTTCTTCCTTTCCAAATTCACACTTCTCTAATCTCAATGTCAATCCGTGGTCTTGCAGACGCGTCAGGACTAGATCGAGTGTTCGATTATGCTCGTCCCAGTTTTTTCCACCAATTAGACAATCATCTCGGTTACATTTCACATAAGGAATTCCCGCTAAAATCTCGTTTATTCGTCTGTCGAATTCATCTTGACTGGTTATCCATCCCTGCGCAAGCGTCTCATGCTTCAAATTCCCCCATGGCGTGGTCACGACTAAATATTTCTTGGATTCCTCGTCAACTTTCATTTGATGATAGCCATTATTCATATCCAAATGTGAGAACACTTTGCAATCGCCAAAGGACGCAGACAGCTCGTCTATTCGTAAACCAGGCACGATGCGAGTCCTTGATGCTCCTTTGTTAGCCAATCGGAAGTCTGCAGTGATTCGAACATCATGATCTCCTTTCGGCGTGATAACAAGTGGACTGGCATATGAAATTGGTTCTCCAGGTTTAGTCCAAGTCATTATCCCTTCTTCCACGAAGTAATCCAATTTCTTTTTGGTTCTTTCTGCGAGATGATGTGGCACGGGTCTTGGGTTTGTATGACAGGTTGTGCATCGGGGTTCAGTTCGATGTGGGTAAGGATTGGTTCACCTGTTTCAGGATCTTTTAGTGTTCCTATGCCATGGAACATTTTCTTGTGCTTCTGCAGGATGTTTCTGAGTTCTTTCTTCTTGAGCGGTATTTCCTCTTCAGGTTTACACTTTCGTTCAGTGTCGTCACTTACGCCCGCATCGACTTTCTTAACAAACTCTCCCTCAGCGCTGTATTTAATCATACCGAGTTTCATCAGTGTTCTTTCGGATAACAAGGAGTGTTTATGGATACAATCTTCAACAATGTAGAGATCGGCGAGTGTCTCTGCGTTCTTGTTTGACATCCTTGCATCTTTAATTGTAGCTATAACTTCAATTTCTTCACCATTCAGGGCGTAGATCTTCTGTTTTGGCTTCTTAATCTGCCTCTCAACATCGGGATTTCCTTCATGAATTTTCTTGAAATCGCTTACGGAGATTAGATCAACGTCAGCGCCAGTATCTGGATCAACGATGATTTTTACTCCAAATATATGGACGGGTAATAAAATGTTGCTAGCATTTTGTCCTTTGACCGCCCGTATACCCAATTTCTCGCTAACACATCTGTAAAATTCGGGATCAGAATCAGATGAAGCAACACGGTCTAGTATGGAATCATTCGTCCATGACCACCACACAATCCGGCAGCTTCGGCAGCTTTTACTTGCTTATTTCTGTTGTCCAATTTTCTCGAGAAACACTGTGCACTGAAATGACCAACCTTCCGACAGTTGAAACATTCTTTCTCGGCAGCTGGGCATATAGGGTGTGATCTATCACGTCCACACTTGGTGCAAGCTTTCTTCTCTTTTTCGTCATTCGAGAGTTTCCTCGGGTTTTCGCGATTTCTAAATGAATATAACTTCTGTGATTTCCTTCTCGCGAATCTTTTATTAGCTACTCTTCGCACTTCAAATTCGGGAAGTTCGCTCTTGATTTTCATTTCGTTTCTTTGTGCTTCGACGTCTTGCTTTGTAGTTGCATATTTCAAGAAGTTCTCAAGCGACCAATTATTCTCTAATGCTTTCGCTTGTAGGCTTTCATCTTTACACGTTAATATTAAACGATCTAGGATCATCTCATCATCCTGTCCGTGAAAATCGCATTCTTTAGCGAGTCGTCGAAGTTCAAGTTCATACTGTGCGATAGATTGGCCCGGTTGTCGAACGGCTTTGTTGAATCTAAATCTGGCGTGAAGTCTTGTGTTTGTTGCAACATATACATGCTCGATTTTAGCAATAAGCTTCTCGTATTCGTCAAGATCTCCCTCCGGTTCAGCTCCATTCTCGTCTATAGAAAGAATTCTATCCCCACCATGGACTAACAACGCTGCTTTCATGTCTTCAGGCTTTACGATGTCGAAGTATTTCATTTGAACTTCAAGTCTTCGTCTCCACAGTTTCCATTTGCATGTGGTTTCTAATATGTCTTCGTCTGGCTCGAATTCTTCAATTTTCAACGCTTTCCTCGGTTTAGGAGGCATACTTGCTTAAGTGAATCCTCGTCGCCAATGTTATAAACTCAGAACACAACTCAGGTGTGTGTGGATACATATATTAAAGAAGATTCCGTCGACTACATACAGCAGAATATTTACACGAGTTTATATAGCAAATCTTTTTGGGTTTTTTACTTGATTAACATAACAATACTTAATTGTTTAATTCGCATAATGAGTTTATATTAGTTTCGCCTATAACTACAATATATGTCAATAATGATCTCACAACATCCCTTTCTTTCCTCAACTTTGGAATCGATCCGGCAGATAAACTTCACGTCCTCGGCGCGTCACATAAACAGGTTGTCTGCCACATTGTGGATTGATTGACTGATCTACTACTTTGTCACAATCGTCTCTTGTCTCTGCTAGTTCTCCTTTCTCAAACTGCGATGTCTCGCGTACGATCTTGAAATGTGACTTGTCTCGCACGAACACTTTCTCATCATCAAATCGAGCTGTTACACCGTGTCCATGTATCTGGGTTACTCTACCCGGAATAATACTTAGTGGATCTGTTCGCCTGTTCTTCATGAGAACCCTGTCTCCAACAGCAATTCTGGACTTTTTCACATTTCTACGCTTATCATCAGACAACCGCAAGTTTCGAACAGCAAACAGGAGATTAGACCGGAGTGAAGTAAACATCGATGATTCAATTGAAGACATGCCACCTAAGAACAGGGAACTAAATCCGGAAACTATGCCTATGGCTGACATATGTGTGTTTGAAGTGTCGGAAGAGAGAATTCTAGAACAAAGTGAAGTACCATCGGGACTTGAGGAAAGCTCAACAAGGTTGAACAATAGCATTGGGGAGCTGACTGACGATAATATTATCAACGAAAAGCAAATCCTAGAAGAAGTTAAAACACGATCTGGAAATGAGGTTAACACAACGAAGAATTCAACGATGTGGAACAATAGCATGGAGAAATTGACTGAGGATAATAACATGAACGGTAGGCCTATAGAACGTAATGAACCACCATATGCAAACATAAGCACTGCAGGTCTAATTAACACCTCAGGTAATATTACGGCAAATGTATCAAGAACGGTCAGTACAGGGGAAGCACAAATCAATAATGGGCGTTTAATGGGTTACTTTTGCTCCGAAAACGTTTTCAACCTTAGCCACAAAATTTTAAGTGACACTGAGATAAGAGTGCTGGGCAGAGGGTTACAGTTCGTACCTACTTCATCTAAGATTGATGAAGGGGATTTAAGAAAGGATTTTAATGAATTTTGTCGTAGAATGCGTAATAGATGGCATTTTAGGGATAACGTAACCGCGGACTTCAGTGAAATTCCGGCATTTCGTCCTAAATCCACCTGGACACCACTGAAAGGCGGTCCGTCATTGGAGTTGTTCTTAAGTCAAATTGAGAAAGAATTGTTTGAGTTTATTCCTAAGAAAACCCACAAATTTAATCTTAGCAAGAAGGAGTGGTTGGCGTTGAAAGCGTTAATAGAGGATAAAAGTATAATTATTAAACCAGCAGACAAGATTAAAGCAAATATGAAAAAAGGGGAGTATATATAGTTTACACGGACTTTGAAATGGAAATTTCGAATATATATTTTTAAATATATGAATTAAAACCAAGTAAAATTGATTAACGCATGCGATAGGCTCTCGTGTAGTTTAACATCCCATGATTTCTGTCTAATGACTACATTACAGTTTGAATACTTTCATAAGCAATATTTCTCTTTCGCTTTAGATCCCTATTCGACTCGGCAGTTGTGAACAACATAACCGTGGAGGACCTGCAAGAAATGAACGATGCAGAATCACTCGCTCCGCCTGTGCCCTCTTGCGCTGTCCATCGTTCCTTCGTCAGAGAAGAGGAACACCGCCGACTCGAAAATGCTAGACGCCTACGCCGAAGTTTGCCGCTGACCTCATCCGCGTCGTCAGAAGCAGATTTTACATTTGTTGAGAGGAAATCAAACAAAGACGGCGAGAGATCCTCGTTTAAAAGAAAAGGTTGCAACGAAGAGGAACATTCCGATGAAGAGGATGACGATACAGGGTGTAGAAGAAGAGGAAGAAGAAGAAGAAGTAGAAGTACAAGTAAAAGAAGAAAATGATGATGATGATGATGATGATGATGATGAAGAAACAGGTAAAGAAGCAGGCGAAGAAGGCGAAGAAGGAGAAGGAGAAGGAGAAAGAGAAGAGGAGGAAGTAGAAAGCAACGGTTGGATAGACGTACCAGATAATGGATGGGTGCAGAATGATCAAGTATACCTGGCCAAAGTGTACGAGCACATCAAGTGGAGGTTGGTTAGAGATCATCCTGTGCATTTCTAAAACAACATGTAATTTTCGCGCCTTTTCCTTCCTTACGTCCCGCAACTTTTTCCCATTAGGTTTCCAACAGAGCACTTGCCTCAAATACCAACACTCGCATTCGAAGCACGACGCGATGCGGCCAAGAGAAAGGAAAAGGATTTTGACATGAAACCAGATCCGTACATTGATGCGTGGATGTTGATCACCGGTCGCCTTCGCGAGGTATTCGATGTGGAGAAGTTCGTGTTAAAGTTTGTCGACGTGGAATATTACCTATTCAGCGCTCGCAAGTTCCTAGGTTGTCGTATCATGTATGATGGCTGCCCAATTGTACGGACGAAACAAAGACTGGCAGTTATAAAAGACCAAGCTGCCGAAAAATCTCATCATCTCGTTGGGGAGGCAGAAAAGAAAGAAATTCCATCAACGGCGCGCGGTGATCTGATCGTAAAACGCTGTGGATGTCGCCATTAACTTAGCATAATTATTGCGTGAAAACGTAATGAACGTAAATTTGTTGTGAACTACCGATATGATTATTTTACCATGATTTAATATTACCTTACTTACTTTGGCAATAGTAACCCTTAAAAAAAGGTGAAAGGGAAATAGAATCTCGCGTGTAATATCCGATAGACGCCGGTAATAAAAGCCGGGCTAAATTCAACAGAGACCGGGCTAACCTCCATACAAACTGTGTTAAAAGTTCAATAGAAACCGATATGCCAGAATATATTCCATTTTACTTGATGTTCATTTTCAACATTTCATGTTTATACGCTTATGCTACCTATAGGCACCATGCACTTGCCGAAGTTTGTGTAAACCAGTTCGTGTGCAAGATGTAAATTATTTAAGGCTACAAGAATATCATATTCTTCCTTAGATTATCTGTATTATTAAAAACAGAATAACTTCACGTGTAAATTAAATTAAAATGATATACATCTTGAAATAAGGAAACATTTTTTTTCTAGCATGCTATATATCTTGCATGAAGTTAGCCAGGAAACTATTGAACTTAGCCGGGTTTATATTAAAGTTAGGCCGACATCCATTGAAGTTATAGCCCAGCTTCTATTGAATTTACCCTTGTATTTATTTTTAGCCTGGCTTATATTTAATTTCCAATTTTAAATATATTAGAAAACCCCGGAAAAAAGCAATATGAAATAAAATAGGATGGAGAGAGGCATCAGAACTATTCAAATTTGATAAAAGCAAGGCTAATTGAAATAGAAGCCGCGGACTGAGTCGTGTAAAAGCCGAGCTAAATTCTATAGAAGCCAGACTAATTTCAACAGAGGCCGGGCTAACTTGAATAGAGGTCGGACAAACTTAAATAGAACGCGGCCTAAATTCAATAGAGGCCGGGCGAACTTCAATGCAGGCCGGGCTAACCTCATGCATTAGAATTCGAGCTAAATTGAATAAAAGTAGGCTACTTTCAACATGCAGACGGAACTTTTCCTTGCCAGATTCTGTTCCCCGCTTTTTATGTAATATTCTTTTTTTACAATCAATCATGATGCTAATGCTAGTTAGAAACCAGTGGCAAAATTTGTTAAAATGTACGTTTGCAAGAGAATAGCTTCACTTATTTGGAAGCCAAACATTTCCTGAGCACTGACACTTTTTGCATTGGCACCAGAGTGTCTCGCACAAATCTCTGCAATAGGAGTTTCTAACTGCATTAGGCGATCATAATTATATTTTGCAACTTCTTCATTGCTGTAATACAGTCTAGTAGCATCAATAAATTTATTTAGATTAGATAAAACTGTTGGCTGTCTAGTAAGGAGCTGTTTCCAGTCATTACAACTTAATTCTCCATTTCGAAGTCGTGATAAGATGCCTTTAAATAACGTTTGATCATGTTGACTACCCCTTATCCTCTGGTTAACATCTAATATAACTACATTGTTAAACATTTTATATGCTAGAAAACCCTGTTCAGCGATTGAATTAGATGGTTTACTATGATACAATGGCTTGTCGCCAACGGGAGGAAGTTGGGCAGGATCGCCAATTAAAATTACGGATTTTCCACCAAACAACTTATCCTGTAATCCAGTAGCTTGTCTACAACGTCTATCAATCCATCCCATTGTAGTTTGACCAAGCATAGAATATTCATCTATTACAATATAGTCAACTGGCAACAAATCTTTTTGCAATCCAGGCTTTGGCAATTTCAAAAATGAGTGAATGGTTATGCCATTTATGTTAAATGATGCCTTGCCAGTTGTAGCAGTCACAATACATTTCTGCTTTAAATATTTTCTTAGAGCATTAATAAGGAAACTTTTTCCTGTTCCCCCTTCACCAATAATAATAAGCAAAAGTGGTTCTTTAGATTCGACATTGTTATAATGATTTACAATAATGTTATATCCCCGCTGTTGCATTTCAGTAAATGTACTTGTATCAACTTTGTTGTCGCATTCACTTAAGGAAATAGCATAGTCACTCTTTTACTTTGACCCATTTTGGCATTTCACCAATTTGCTGGGGTGTGTACCTTGCAGAATCTAAATGCCAATCACATGATGTATTGCTGTTGGTATGGGGAGTTTCATTAAGTTTATGATAATTAGAAAGAATCATCCATTCTTCTTGATCAGAGCTTTCATTTTTTTCAAATAATTCATTCTTTTGTTGCATAACATTATCTAACACATTTTGCAATTGTTTTTCCCAATCTGGCACATGCTGGTTTGCAAATGGAGAATTTAAAAAGTTGAGCCACGAATTTACAAAAGTTGTGTCTGAATGTTCCTGGTTATCCCATGCATCATTTTGCGAGTTTCTCCATGGCTTATACTTCAAAAGCTGGTATTTGCAATATAGTGGATAATTAATTTCTTTTGGATTTGAAGAGTAACAAGGAAAGAAACGTGGAATCACATTTGGTGACCGTTTTACAAGCTTATTTTTTACAGTCTTGTACATTGTTACAAATTCAACAAAACTTATTTTCATTACATGTGGGAACTCGTCCTGAAAAATTGAACGGTTTGCATATTTATCTAACAATGAATCATTTGTACATCGATTATCTGTTTGTTTCTGATTTGTCTTAACAAGATGAGATCCATTTAAATTCACAGGCAAAACGTCAAATGATGAACTATACAATTTTAATGAAAGGAGTAGGTACATTGTCTCCTGGGCACTGAAATCTCTTTCTCCTAGTGTTTTTATCATGATTTTTTTCATTGCCTTCAAGGGACTTGTACAAGAGTTTAGGTTATGCACAACTGAGTTAAATGCTTTTTTCAACACGTTCAACCTGGATTCACCTTTTGCAGCATATTTACACAAATATTCTACACATGCATGATAATCAAGTATGACTTGGATATCACAATTTGCTCTCCATCCCTCAAGTTGAATTCTCTGATGGTTATTTAATCTAGGGTCATTTCTTCAAGTAACTATACTTGCTTTGTACTGTACACTTTTGTCCTTTGTATGCATTTGTTGAAACTCAAGTCTAGTTTTACTACAACAATCAAACGGGTATTTGAATCTACAATAGAGCCCTTCTTTGTTTGGCTCATGTCTTAGACAATATTTTGTGCTACAATGAGTATGGCGTTGAACAGTGTTTACTAGATTTGAATAATCATTATTCCGTTCAGAGTTTGGAATATTTTTGTGTTTTTTTGTACAAGGATGAACCAATGGTTTTGTCCATTGTTCAAACTCAGGTGGACAGGGATTCCATGTATTGATTGGTGTGTCTACATAATTGCAAATAACCTTCGCTGCTTTTTGTCCTTCATCAAATTCTACTGAAAGAGGAATGTGACATGTATCTAGACATTTTTTCTGTTTTTCTGCTATGAAACCCTTAAGAGCTATCTCTGTTAGTTTACAAAGACCTGGATCAGATTTTAATTTTGCAGTGCCATGGCAATGGATACTACCTCGAGCTTGAAATTCATATCCGTACCAATGCCACTCAGCATTCATTGTGTCATATAGCCAGTGCTTTAGAAATTATTCTAACCGTTTAGTAAAAAACCAGTCAACTAAGTGAGGATTATTAATAACATTTTTTCGCCTATCTTCCACACTCAAGCTATCAACATTTGTCGAAAAAAGGGAATGTAACTCAGGCCATTGAAGATCAGCAAAAGAAAATGTAAAAGAAAATGTTGGTGCACCTTTTGCTAAAATAATTGCTTTTAAATCTTCTCTTATTTTATACCAATACGCTGAGCTACCAGTGATATTTGCTACATATCTAGAAAGTTTAGACATGAAAGAAGATGATTTGTCACTACAAGCCATTTCACGTAACTCATCTAATGTAAGATATGATTCATCAGGATTTTGTTTTAAAAATACAGCATTTTGTTGAAGAGCTTGTTTCCTTTGTATCATATTAAGAGCCCAATAGGAGAATCTGGGATGACTAGCAAACCTATATATCCACTCACCATTGATTTTTTCCGAATATTTAATTAAATGCTGAATACGTTTGGCAAAAGGAATGTCTCTTGGCAAACATGGATTTGTTGGATCACCATTACCATCAGGGAAAAGTGTTGGAAAAGCAAGAGTAGCAAGAAATGGTGTTGTATACTCATTTAATGGTTGGTCATCAATTGTTGGCCTGTTTATTTTGGTGGCGTTGAGACTACTTTTTATAGCATCACTTTCTAGATAGTCATTTTTAGGCTGTGGTAAAAAGCTATTTGTATCTATTTCACCATTATAAACTTCATCCCCACTGGTTATTGTGTCAGTGTCATTATTACTATCAATTCCATCTGGGTCCCGCAGTGTTTCTATTCTCTGGATATTGGAAGGAATTCCATCATCAGGTAAAGTTTCTAATGTATCCAAATCAATACAGACATTACTATATAGTGGATTGTGTCTTATCAACCAATATAAAGCCTGCTCAACCTTTTTTTTCTTTACTATAACATCTTTCATTGTGTTATCCTTTCCTTTCATTGTAACAACAATAACTGGAATATTACTTGGACATCGTGGAAGTGATTGGGCTATCTCAGACACCTTTTGGGGTAAATTTATGCAATGACCAGAATATCCTCTTTGACCACCAGGCTTTACATAAACCCTCATAATGGGAAGTGCTCTAGCAATAAGCATTTCTTCAATTTGAGTTAAATCCTCTAGTTCATTTGGCAGAACAGAAGGTATTATACCATTGTCAGAAGAAAACTTTTTCGGAATTTGTTTATCAATATTACAGCGACGACAGATGTAAGTATTGGTATTAGAAGATCTTGGTTTGGTTGTCAGATGCCATGCCTCACAACATACACAACATTGAATTATAAAGTATTGCATTGACTTATGGAATTTATCAACATTTGGCTTGAAATTCTTTGAAAAATCTGTTCTTATCTCAGAACATTTGGGTTCCTTTGAGGCTTCACTAATCTCTTTAATGCCACCATTTAATTGATCTTGGTTTGACTTACCACCATTTAATTGACCTGAGTTTGACTTTATTGTATAAAAATCAGAAGAACGCTTTCTCTTAGCATTTGACATTTGAACATTTGACTTAGAATTCTCTGAAAAATCTTTTGTTACCTCACAACATTTGGGTTGCTTAAAGGTTTTACTGTTTTCTTTAATATCACCATTAAATTGATCTGGGTTTGAATTATTAGACAAATCACCTTCACCTACTGTATCAAAATCATAAGAGTGCTTTCTTTTTACAGACTGACCTTTTAAATATTGAGGTTTTTTAATATTTGTGTGCATATCAGAACAAGATAACTCACAGGTACCTAAACTTACATCAAGAACAACATCATAATGTACACCCCCAGTATGTTGAATGTAAATGGAACATTGATTTTGCGGAGGCAAATTATTAAGCATTGATTGAGAGAATCTATTCCATGTTAAATGAGTACCAACATTAGTATATACATAAATGTCTGTGCTTAGCAATGATAAAGCAGCAAATATTTCAATGTCTGTACCCCAGACTCTTTCTTGATGCATTCCACTAGATTGAAGATAATCATTTAGGGACATGCCCATATGTGGCAGTAACAAGTTCTCTATGGACCTCATGTGATCTAATACTTTGTGTTTTATTACATGATGGTAAACCTGTCGCCCTGTAATGACATATGAAAGTGCTCTAATAGACAGTTCCCATCACCCATTATTCTGTGTAGTATAATTGGTTCATTTAAGAACTTCGGAACTGTTGGTCTAAACGGCACAATTAGTGGTAAATCAACTAAAGAACATATGAGCCTTTGCGCATTTTCATCAATCGCTACAAAAGCATACGGACGAGCCATATTACTTTTGTTGTATACTCTGTATCACAAATATCTCTTTTTACAGAAAACACTTTACTCAATTGAGCACTAAAACATCATCAACTATTTTTTTAAACGAGGCATATGAAATGCCAACTCAATTATTGAAACACAAGGCATGACAGCACGCCGAAACACGAGGCGTAACAGGACGCCGAAACACGAGGCGTGACAGGACGCCGAGACAGGAGCAATATAAATATGTTAAATGTAAAATATATCACCTCAAAATACAGATATTCGAAAGGCGCTATTACAAAAATGCTACAATTACAGTTAAGGATGATTCCTTGGGCGACGCAATGTCGCGTCAAGCAAGGCTGACAAGCAATGGAACACGAGGCGTGTTAACAAAACGGCGTGTTAACAGAGCAGAATATAATTTAATACACTAGGCTAAACTAGACACAAATAAAAACCAACAAAACCTGTACCTTTACTTCACACAGATTTTGCTCTAAGCTATTTATAAACCGTTGGCACACTGTCAACACCGCATGATATGGAAATACAAAGACCGCGTTGTATGGAAAATATTACTATAAATACTACTGAGAAATTATACTACAAAGAACACCAATTAATCGATGGTAAATACCAAAGAAAGATTAAAAATATGATGGTCAAAACCAGTACCTTTAGTTTAGAGTAGTTTTGCTCTGTGTACAGTGGGAAGACAACCGAGAACGAGTCAACGCAACACCACTTGATAGAATACCTGACATACATATAACAAAAACCAGTTAATCGACAGTAAATAACAAAGAAACAATGAAATAAATGCGATTGTAACTATAAATTAGCAAAAGAACAAAAAATTATCTTTACAAAAATCTTTCAAAACCAAAGAAGCTTTGCACGAGAAATTTACCACACTCACTATTGAAGGATGTCGCAAAAAGAACAAAGATCGCATGCTGGACTGCCCAAGGCGTCTCAATACCTGTGCTTCCACGTGAATAATAATACAACGTCCAAATTCGAAATATACGCAAAATGGATATGGGACCTGATTTTAAAAATATTTATTTGGAAATACCAGTGAAAATAGCTATCTGCGCATTTCCGATCGCCTT